GCGAGCGCCCCCTAACGGCGCCTCCTGGGGAGGGTCCTGCAGTCGCCAAGCCTTTCCCGAGGGGTCTGGGGGAGCCCCGGGGCCCAAGAACGCTGTCCGACCCTTTTATTCTACGTGGCTCTTCTCGTGCGGGTGCTTTTCGGTTGTTCCTGTACTGGGGATCGAACCCGGCCCACGGTCATGCTTTCCCGCCTGAGCTATAACCCTAGTCCTTAGCAGTTCCCTTCCTATAGTAAAATGCGACCTTCTCTCTGGAGGCAATGAAATTAGGATGTGCCTATTTATATTAAAAAAAAAGAGCCTATTTAAACACTTGCTGTTTTAATTAACAATTAGATTACTTTTGCCACCGCTTAAGTAATGCATGTTCCTGATGAAAGTTCAAACGGTAACGGCCACTGACTCGCAGAAACTATTGAGTCTTTTCTTCCCGGGAGGTTTTCCAGTCTCACTTCTCACCGGTGACCTCAGGGAAAGTGACACTCTATGGGAGTATGTAACAAAGGGAGTCACCATGAGTTCAGCTATGACTTGCACTTCCATAGCACTTGGTACATTTTTTTTCTACCCCCGCCCCTAAACTGAGAAATTGAACCTTAGAAGAAAGACTGTGCCACTGAGCTAAGTCTCCTGTCTTTTTTGTATGTTCCACTTTGATTTTTGCTTAAAAACTTTTTTTTCTTTTTTTTTTTACATTTATTTATGTGTGTGTTTGAGGCAGAACTAGCTTTTGCCACAGAACACATTCGGAGGTCAGAGGACAATTTGCTGGAGTTCCTTCTGTCTTGTCACCATGTGGATTCAGGGGATCAAACAGGCTGTCAGGCTTGGTGGCAAGTGCTCTTACCTGCTGAGTAGTCTCTCTGGCCCACAATTATTTTAATTAGTTAATTTAAAAAGATTTGTTTTGAATTATACGGTATGTGCTTGTGGTGTGTAGAGGCAGGTTTCCTTTCCCCAGGGTCTGGAGTTACAGGCAGGTGTGAGCTAACTGATGGGGGCGCTGGGAATTGAACTCAGGTCCTTTGTAAGAGCCATACACTTCCTTAACCACTGGGCTATCTCTCCAGCCCTCCTAAGAAGTAGAGTCTATAACCTCCCTGGATTAAGACAAAAAACCATCAGTCGAAGAGTTATCCCCCCCCCTTTTTTTTTTCTTTCGTTTTTCGAGACAGGGTTTCTCTGTGGCTTTGGGAGGCTGTCCTGGAACTAGCTCTTGTAGACCAGGCTGGTCTCGAACTCACAGAGATCCGCCTGCCTCTGCCTCCCGAGTGCTGGGATTAAAGGTTTGCGCCACACCACCCGGCTTCCCTTCCCTTCTTAATCTGAGACTGAAGGTTTTAGTCAATCACTTGACTGATGTAATATCCATCATCAAGTATTTTTAGCTTTAGGTGATGCTAGGTCTGTGGGGTGGCTCAGCACTTGCTGACAAAAACCCGACTAACTTCCTCAGTTTGATTCCTGGAACTCAAAGTCAAAAGAGAAAACCAAAAGTTGTACTTTGGTTTCTACACATGTTCCATGCATTCATGTACCTGTACTCACACAGACACATATCACGTACATTTGCACGCAGGCATACACACACACACACACACACAACACACACACACACACACACACACACACACACACACACACACACACTTTAAAAGTGAACCAGATGTGGGGCACATGTCTTTGATCTCAGTACTTGGGAGCACTTGGGAGGCTGAGGCAGGTGGATCTTTGAGTTTGAGGCCAGCCTGGTCTACAGAAGGACTTCCAGGACAGCCAGGACTACAAAGAGAAATCCTGTCTTGAAAATAAATAAATAAATAAATAATTTTAAAAAGTGTGGTACTAGGGATTGAACCCAGGGCCTTGCAGATGCTAGGCAAGTCTCTATCACTGAGCTGTATCCTCAGCTATGACCCTGAGTATTTAACAATTCTTTATCTATTTTTATACTTTATATTTTGTGTATATCTAGAAACAATGTGTATTATTTTATAAGCTTTTATTTTATTTTTTTCTGTTATGTAGTCCTGGCTGTCCCAGAACTTGCTTTGTAGACCAGGCTGGTCTTAAATCCACAGAGCTCCATCTGCTTCTATCTCCTGAGTTCTGGGGTTAAAGGAGTTTGTTACCATGACCAGCTCTATATGCTTTTTTTTCTTTCTTTTTGAGACAGGGTTTTTCTGTGTAGCTCTGGTTGTCCTGGAACTCTCTCTGTAGACTAGGCTGACCTGGAACTCAGAGATCTGCCTGCTTCTGCCTCCCAAATGCTGAGATTAAAGGCATGGACCACCACCTCCAGGTTGCTTTTAGATTTTATATTAGTGAAATTGCAATGAATGTATCATTTACAAATAAATACATCTACCCAGTGATTCATTTAAAATATTCTATTTGTTTGAATGTGTTTGTGCCCGCTTGTCTGTGGGTATACCGTATGCATGCAGTGCCCAAGGAGGTCAGAAAAGAATGTTTGACCCCCTGGAACTGCAGTTACAGATGGTTTGTGGGTGCTCAGAACCAAACCTGGGTCTTCTGCAAGAACAGCAAGTGCTCTTGACCACTGAGACATTTCTCTGCCCTATCTCCACTTGTTTTGGTTTTGTTGTGTTGTTTTTATTTTTATTTATTAGTTTGCTTATTATGGTTTAGGATGACTTGGGACTTTGGAGCTCTCCAGCTCATGCTGGCTTTGAACTTTGATTCTCCTGATGGAGACACCCAGGGACTGCATATCTGAGCTTCTGGCCAATTCTTCCCATTTTGACATAGGAATGCTAGGACTACAGATGTGAGCCACCACATCTGGCTTTTAATTTTATTATTATTTCTTTTCAAGACAGGGTCTCACCGTGTAGCCCTGGTTGGTCTGGAACTCCCTATGTAGACCAGGTTGGCCTTGCACTCAATAGATCTGCCTGTTTCTGCCTCCCAGTTCTGGGAGGCTCAGGCTTGGGAGGGTAGTCCTGGGTTGTATAAGAAGGCCGGTTGAGTAAGCAATGGGGTGGAGGCAGTAAGCAGTGTCCTGCCTCTGCTTCTGCTTCTGTTCCTGCCTTAAGTTCCTGCCTTGAGTTCCGGCCCTAACTTGAGTTCCTTCCTTCTGTGACGCAGAAATTTAAGACAAATAAACCCTTTCTTCCTCCAGCTGCTTTTGCTCATGGTGTTTTTTTGATATATTTTTGTTGTTGTTGCTGTTTTATCACAGCAGTAGGAAACCTAACTAAGACGCCTATTTTAAAAAGCCTTTGATTCCAATCTTCTTTTCCTTAAAACTAGTGAGTTGTAGCCGGGCGTTGGTGGTGCACGCCTTTAATCCCAGCACTCGGGAGCCAGAGGCAGGGGGGTCTCTGAGTTTGAGGGCCGCCTGGGCTACAAGAGCTAGGTCCCGGACAGCCTCCCAAGCCACAGAGAAATCCTGTCTCGAGAAACCAAAAAAAACCAAAACCCCAAAAAACAAACAAACAAGAAAACTAGTGAGTCATGTGCAGAGGAATTATACACTCTGTAGAAAAGAAGAAATAACTGTTAGAACTGAGAGTGGCTGCCACCATCTCCACCACCTCCTCCTCCTGGTCTTTCCTCTTTTTCTTAGTCTTTTCAGCCTTGGCAGTTCCTTTTTTTTTTTTTTTTTTTTTTTTTTTTTTTCCCCTGGGGGTTTCTTTTTTTTTTTTTTTTTTTTTTTTTGATTCACCAGAATGTCCTTTCCCTCTGCAGACGGTAATATCCTATTTTCCTAAAGCTGCTGGCTTGCAGGGGTAAGCCACCTCTCCCAGGTCCTCACGTCACATCGATAAGCAGGGATGTAATTTGCAATATTCAGAACATAACAGTTTGGTCCTCTTTTGCCGTACCCTCATGTTCATTTTTCTTTGGCAGACCTGCCTGGTCTCCCACTTCTCCAAGACTTTTTGGAAGACTCTGAGGAGCTGACTGAAGCGTCTGACTGCTGCTTCTTGAGCCTGACTCGTGGGTTTGCATGAAGAATGCATAGGATGGCATCTTGGCTTCTTAGCATCTCCTTTGTCAGTGTTTAGCCTTTTTATTTAGGGAGGGATGGAATCACCCAGGGTCTGGCCAGCTTTCACTTGCCTGCCTCTGCATGGTGGTAGAGCTCAGTGGATTTCAATGGCCGTGGAAGACGGAAGTGGAAGCAGGCACTATCTTTTTTTTTTTGTTGGTTTTTCTTTTGAGACAAGGTTTCCTGATTTTTTTTTTTTTCTAGGACTTCAGCTTCCAAACTTTAAAAAAAAAAAAAAAAGTTAACTAGGAGGCTGGAGAGGTAGCTCAGTTAGGAACACTGGCTTGGTTTGATTTTCAGCACACATAACTCCAGTTCCAGGGTGATCAGGCACATGAGTAGTATATAGACATACACGTAAGCAAAATATCCATATACATAAAATAAAAATATTTTCATAAAGTTAACTGGGATCTACTTTAAAAATATATTGAAACAATAAATATGTGTACTATTTATATATGTATTCAATACAAACTACCACGTGTTCTCTGATCATTTCTATTTACATTCATTTTTTAAAAAATTGCTGGCCAAGACACAATAACCTAGTTACAGTATTAGTAATTCATGACACTCAGTTTATGTTCTTTCTCTTCCTTTTTTAAGAGAGAAATCTAGAGAGAGACAGAGAGAGAGAGAGAGACTGGTTATATGGCCTTTTACCTTATAATAAACACAGTCACTGAGAACTCACTAAGTCAGATTTCGACTCTCAGAATACAAAGACGGTGTTTGATGTTAGATGTGTTGATACACATCTATTATTGTAGCATTTGGTAGGCTGAGGCAGGAGGATTGCTGAGACTTTGAAGTTCAATCCCCAGGACCCACTGGTGGAAGGTGAGAACCAACTCCTAAAAGTTGTCTTCTGACCTCTACTACCTTTCTGACATTTCTCTTTACAAAGACACAGAAATGTAAAGCTAGGGCAGTAGATTCTTTGCCTAGCGTGTGCAAGGTCATGGGTTTCATCTAAGCACAGCAAAGAAGAAGAAAGGATAAAGGACAGAAAGCGATTGTGTCACCATGCCTGGTTTTATGTGGTGCTGGAAATGGAATCCAGGGTTTTACATCCTGGGCAAACGCTCCACCAACTGAACTCTGCTCCTAACCCTATTTTTAAAATTTTTATTTTATTGAGAAATGCCTTTTTTTTGTTTTTGTTTTTGTTTTTTGTTTAGTTTTGTTTCTCAAGACAGGGTTTCTCTGTGTAGCTTTGGAGCCTATCCTGGCACTCCCTCTGTAGAGCAGGCTGGCCTCGAACTCACAGAGATCCACCTGCCTCCTCTGCCTCCTGAGTGCTGGGACTAAAGGCATTCACCACCAACACCCAGCCTTGAGACATGTTCTATGTAACATAGCCTGACCTTGAACTTGATATGTAGCAAAGGCTGACTTCGGACTTCCGATCCCCCTGTGTCCATCTCCTCAGTGCTGGGATTACAGGTATGTCCCACCATACCAGGCCTATGTGGTGCTGGGGACCAAATGCAAGACTTTCGTGTATACTGTGCAAGCACCCTACAAACTGAGCTACAATTCTGGGCTTGCAATCTCCAACAGGCCCAACCTGTTGAGGGTCTCCTGTAACTGGCCCTAGAACTCAATATACAGTGGCCCAGGATGACCTTGAACTTCTGTAGTCCCCATGCCTCCATGCAGTGCTAGGAATACAGGCTTGCAGTACCATGACTGGTTGACGAAGATCGAGCCCCAGCCTTCCTGCAGGCCAGGCCAGCACCCTATCAAGTGAACCACATCTTCAGCCTCCACCCTCTTAACCTGAACACACTGGATCATTAAGTTTCAACATACGAGTCTTGGGGAACACATTTAAGCCACAGAAAGTCATCTCAACTGGCGCTTTGATCTCTGTCCATTGTCATCTGCAGGGCCGTCCGTCCTGGAAGACCCTCCCCCACTTCTCAAGTTACCGTCTCCTCCTTTCCCCCCCTATCATACTTCTGAAACATAATCTCCCGGACAGCTGTTCTCTTGTTTCTGTTTGTGCCCTTAGAACTGCTCCACTTCCTTGTGGTCAGGCCAGGTAACTAGTTCTGGCCAATGGCTGTAAGCAAGACTGACGTGTATTGTTTCTAAGTCAAGGTTGTGCTAAAGGGTCAGCGTGCTTTCCAATTTCTGTCTCCTCTCACCTTACAGAAGCCACCTGTTCTGTGTGGCATAGCTGTAAGAGGGAGAAAGCATGAAGCTGGCACCAGACTTACCTCGAACAACACACCTTTATGCTGTTAAAGCCTAGAGTTCAAGGTTACAGCTTAAATTTCCTCATACTCAACAACTCTTTCTTTTTGTTTTGGGGGCAGGGTCTCATGTAGTTCAGGCTGGCCTCAAACTTACTATGTAGCCCAGGATGGCCATGAACTCCTGCATCTGCCTCCCAAATGCTGGCATCACAAGTCAGAGATACCACTCCTGTCATTAAAAAAAAATTTTTTTTTTTTTTGGAGCCGGGCGTTGGTGGTGCCCGCCTTTAATCCCAGCACTCGGGAGGCAGAGACAGGTGGATCACTATGAGTTCAAGGCCAGCCTGGTCCACAGAGCGAGTTCCAGGACAGGCTCCAAATCTACAGAGAAACCCTGTCTGGAAGCCCCCCCCCAAATATTTTTCAAGACAGAGTTTTGATGAGAATATAGGCATGCAGCACTGTACTTGGCTATCCACCACTCTATCTTCATAAGAAGTGTGTGTGTGTGTGTGTGTGTCTAGAGATGGGATCTAGATCCTTATACATACTATATGGATGGGCTGTACCCTAAGTGATGTCTCAGTGTGTTAAAATTATTATTCATAAATTTGCATATATGCTGGCATGCGTGTGCGCGCCTGAACTCACAAATGGGAGGTCAGAGAACAATTTGAAGGTGGCAGTTCTCTCCTTTCCACCATGAGGGTTCCAGGGATCGAATTTGGGTTGTTAGGCCTGCCAGCAAGCACCTTTACTTGAAGCCCCTATAAATTTCTTCATAGGATAAATTTCTGATGGGAAATTAGTGACCCTGCTCAGTGCTAATCGTGTGCAGTGTAAACTTGAGAGGTGTAGATATAGGTGCCGACAGCAGCTGGGTTTTTAACCTCTTATGGAATGAAAATGCATCCAGTCTAAATTCACCTATTTTGGCTTTTAAAGTTAATAGAGCAAGATGCTTTATCAGAGCACCCTGGGGAGGAGCCAGCAGAGTTCTGCTTGTCTAAGCTATGAATTTACAGGAGGCCGGTGTGTTAGGGTTCCTATTGCTATGATAAAAAACAAAATTCAACAAAACCAAAAGCAAAGTAAAACAAAAACCACCATGACCAAAAGCAATGTGGGAAGGGAAGTTCTTATTTCAGTTCCCGTGTCCTGGTCACAGTCCATCACAAAGGGAGTCAGGGCAGGAGCAGAAGCAGAGGCCACAGAGGGGTGCTGCATACTGGCTTGCCCTTTATGACTTGCTCAGCCTGCTTTCTTTTTTTCTTTTCTTTTTTTTCTTTTTTTTCTTTTTTGGTTTTTCGAGACAGGGTATCTCTGTGGCTTTGGAGGATGTCCTGGAACTAGCTCTTGTAGACCAGGCTGGTCTCGAACTCACAGTGATCTGCATGCCTCTACCTCTGGGAGTAAAGGCGTGCGCCACCAATGCCCAGCTCAGCCTGCTTTCTTATAGCACCCAGGTTCACCTGTCCAAGGGTGGCACCACTCATAGTGAGCAAGCTCTCACTCATTCTTTAATTAAGATAGTGCCCCATAGACTTACTTACAGGCCAATCTGATGGTGGCATTTTCTCAGGGGAGACAGGAAGGAAAGGAAAAAAAAAAAACAGAAACTTTCAGACTGAGGGGGCTGAAGAAATTGATCAGTAGTTAAGGGCACTGACTGTTTTCCAGAGGTCCTGAGTTCAATTCCAGCGATCACATGGTGGCTCACAACCATTTGTAATGGGATCTGATTCCCTCTTCTTGTGTGCATGAATACAGAGCACTCATATACATAAGTATATAAGTATATAAGTATAAATAGAAACATTTTAAAAATTTCAGACTGTAAGTACGAAAGCAGCCATTCCTTTTTAATATTTACTCATTTATTTATTTATTTTGGCTTTTCAAGACAGGGTTTCTCTGTGTAGCTTTGGAGCCTGTCCTGGAACTTGCTCTGTAGACCAGTCTGGCCTTGAACTCACAGAGATCCACCTGCCTCTGCCTCCCGAGTGCTGAGATTAAAGTCGTGTGTCACCAACGCCTGGCTCCTTTTTTATTTTTATTTTTTAAATTTATCTTTTATTTTATGTACATTGGTGTTTTGCCTGTATGTGTGTGTGAGGGTGTGGATCCTGAAGTTACAGACAGTTGTGAGTCACCATGTGGGTGCTGGGAAGTGAACCCGGGTCCTTTGGAAGAACAGTCAGTGCACTTAGCCACTGAGTCATCTCTCCAGCCCCTATGTTTTACTTTTCAAGAATTATTTTTATCTATGTGTATGCCACATGTGTCAGGTGCCCAAGGAGGCCAGAAGAAGGCATCAGACGCCCTGGAGCTTGGTGTGGGTCTTGGGGAGCAGCTCTGGTTCTCTGTGCAGGGAACTAAACTCTGGTCCTCTCTTTTAGCTTCTGAACCATCTTCCCATGCCCACAGTCGATTTTTTAAAACTATACTATTTGTTTTCTTGATATTTAGCTTTTAAAGTTCATTGTGTATTCTAGACACCAAAACTGTCAGATGTACTGCTGGAGGAGATTTTCTTCCATTCTCTTTGCTGCCTCTTTACTCGATTGACAGTTTTCTTGGCCATACAGAAGCTTCCTTATTTATCTGTGCATTGTTGGTTTTCCTGTGACTCTGGAGTCCTGGGCAAATCTGTGAGTTGGAGGCCAGCCTGATCTACAGAGTGAGTTCCAGGACAGCCAGGGCTGCACAGAGAAACCCTGTCTTGAAAAACAAAAAACAAAACAAAAGCCCGTATCTGTGTCTATGGGTTGGAGCACACTCTCCACTTTACCCTCCAGCAGTTTTAGATCTTATGTTGCAGCCCTTGGTCTATTTGGAGTTGAGTTTTGTGCAGGTTGAGAGGTAAGGGGCCAGTTTCATTTTCCCTGCACCGTCTGTTGAAGGTCCTGTCTTCTTCAGTGTATGTTTTGGTATCAGATAGGAAGCTGGTAGCTGTGTATGTGTGGACTAATATCAGAATCTCTTCTCTATTTTTGTTTCTCAAGATAGGGTT